TCCCTTGGGGTGGGAGAGGGTCTTACCCGCCCCCCTCTGGGGCGCTCTGAGTGAAACAGCCTGGTGCAGGGTATGGTGGCATGGTTATGGCAAGCGTTATGTTATTCTCCCTTCGGGGAGAAAAGGACTTGCTATCTGGATTCTGTATATTCTTTACCCAGCTTCCCCACTGTTAATGTTAATGCAGTTTTCAAAACAAGGAAGTTTAACACTGAAACACTATTACCATTGAAAGACCTTATATAAATGTCACCAGTTTTCAAACTAATATTTCTTTTCTAGAATCCTTTCCAGTTCTCCACCTTACTTATTTTATGTTCTATTTGTTATTTCACACTCTTGCAAATACATTCCCAAGTCTTAGCCTTGTCTTTCACAACCCTGACAGTTTTCCTTCTATTATTAGTCTTTTTTTTTTTCTTCAAGAATTGAAATGAGGTACTCTTTCTTCCTTTTTGGTAGGAATGTCATGTAATGTTATTTTTTTTGTAAACCTTTTTGTGAAAACAGGATCAAATACAGGTCTTCACACAGGTGAGACTGTGATGTACTACAGAAACAGCCCTAGTGCCTGTTGTTTTCTGTTTGAGGGGGACCCTCCCAAGTGGTGCCTTCTGATTCTCGGCCAACTGGGCTGACAGTTCAGTGCAAGGGTCAAAGATGTAATGCTGCTTGGAGCTGCAGTGCTGGGATTATCCAAATTATCCCAGAGGAATACAGGGGACTCCATGGCAGTATCTGGGGACTATGTGGTGCCGGGAACTGAACCTGAGTCCGGTGCATGCTAGGGACACACACTGACCCCTCTGTTATCACCCTGGCCCTTGATGTATTCTTAATGTGAAATCTTAAGGGGTTCATGTTATCAATATGTCTTCTTCACGAATCACGACCATCCTGTTATTCGTCGATTGCCTCGAGCAGGCCCCAGTAACGTCTCCTTCATCCTAGCCCTGAGATTAGTGCTATATTCAAGGCTCTTTAGGAGAATGAGACCCATCATTGTTACTGGTATTTGGCATATTGGGTACACCACGGGGAGTTTGCTAGACTCTGCCATGTGGGCAGGTTACATTCGGTAGCCTGCCAGTTTGTCTAAAGTAGGAATGAAATAATAAGATGTCATAATAAGATGTCGCGGCCGCAAATGCAGCTGCGCGGTTCCGGGAGCTGGTTTTTAATAGTCTCTGAGTCTTGGCAGCTGATGGGATTACACGGCGCCAGGGGGCCAGTTGGTGGGTGTGACCCCTGCCTACTGGCATTCGGAGGATCTGGGTGGAGGATCAGCCCCGATCTAAGTAGGCTTGGAGATCTCAGCCCCCCCGGGGCCCGCTTGCCTTGGTTCCTCTGCCGGTACCTTCAGGTGTGCGGAGAGTGGTCTCAGCATGGTGGTGGCTGGTCCTGGAGGTCTTCGGCTGCCGGAGCCCTGGTCGTGACAGGGAGGAAAGCTCAACCCGCTCCCCTCCAAGGGGCTCCAGCGAGGACAGCCAGGCGCGGGGGCAGGAGACTGCACTGTTCTCTTGCAGGAGCTGGCTTTTATAGTCTCTGACTATATTTATTTTTTGCTCTTATTCTAAGTAATTCATGTTCCTTGTCCTCCGTTCCTTTAAATAACCAGTTATTTATGTTTCTGGATGAATATTAAAATAAAAAGTAAAAGTAAAGGCCCTCCCGTTGATCATCGATTTGCTCGAGCGGGCCCAGTAACGTCTCCATTGGAGACTTTGTTGTTACTGTGTCTGGCATATCGAATACTCTCGGTAGCTTGCCGGGCTCTCCGAGAGGGGCGGAGGAATCGAACTCGGGTCGGCCATGTTGGCTGCGTGCAAGGCAGACGCCCTACCCGCTGTGCTATCGCTCCAGCCCCGAATATTAAAGTAAGTATTATTAAAAGGTCTATATATTATTGCTTTGGCCACTAAGAGCTCTTTCAGGTTGATTCTTGTTTTGGAACACCTTTTTTTTTTTTTTGCAGGGGAGTTTGACATCCTTGAGTTTTTTTTTCTTGTATTTTCCTGGTTTATGCATAGGAATCAATTATTTCTCCAAGTTCTCCTCATTCCACGGTCACTCTCCAGCAGATTTTGGCCTGGTGTAGTGCTTGGGGGCACTCTCCAGCACCTCTGAATATTAAAGTCAAAAAGACTTTTTATATAAACCCAAATTACAAAGTCTGTTTCTTTTTTAATTGATTCACCACTAATTACAAAGTTACAAAGTTACTCATGATTGGGTTTCAGGTGTACAATGATCTAATACCAATCCTTTCACCAATGTCCACTTGCCTTCACCAATATCCCATTCCCCTCCTGCCCCCAAGCCTGCCTTTATGGCAGGTCCCTTTTTTTTTTCCTCTTTCTCTATGAAGGTTCACAATACTATGACTTACATAGTGTCATGCATGTCACTTTACCACCTTTCAGCAGTCAGTCCTCCTCCAGAGTGAACCTCTACCATTGTTGTAGTGGTCCCTTCCCTGACCTATTCCAACCCCACCCAAGAGGCAAGCTTTCTCCTAAGGACCAGTTCTGTTCTTTGGTTCTATTGCCTTTGAGTGTTAGTTATTTCCCCTGCACAGCGGTAGGGCGTCTGCCTTGCACGCAGCCAACATGGCCGACCCGAGTTCGATTCCTCCGCCCCTCTCGGAGAGCCCGGCAAGCTACCGAGAGTATCTCACCCGCACGGCAGAGCCTGGCAAGCTCCCCGTGACGTATTCGATATGCCAAACACAGTAACAACAAAGTCTCCAATGGAGACATTACTGGGCCCGCTCGAGCAAATCGACGATCAACGGGAGGGCCTTTACCTTTACCTTTATGTTTCTTTATATTCTGCATATTATAAGCTCATTCTTTCTGTCCATTTTCCTCTTACTTCACTCAGCACGATATTCTCCAGCTCCATCCACTTAGCAAATTGCATGACTTCATATTTTCTTATGGCTAAGTAATATTCCATTATGTACACGTTCCATAGCTTCTATATCCAGTCATCTGTTCTTGGGCATTTGATTGTTTCCAGATTTTAGCTAATGTAAATAATGCGGCAATGAACCTAGGAGTACAGATGTCTTTTCTGCATTGTTTTTGAGTCCTTGGGTTATATCCCCAGGAGTGGTACTGCTGGGTCCTATGGTAGCTCAATACCTCGTTAACAAATGCATTTTGGATTACATCTTAGAAGCAGCACCAAATGTGAGGCAAGGAATATATAAAGACTCAAAAATCCAAGACTATATTAGAGATTGGGGAAAACTGGGCTTTATTGTGAGAGTCATAGTGAGAGATAGAGAGGATTGTACATCAAAAGTTTTAGGATGATAGGATAGATGGGGGTGGGGAAGGTCAGGTGACTAATGACTTCATCCCACCCCCCAACCTGGCATCAGAACTTCTAAACAGTTTATGTTCCAAAGGAGCATTTAGTCAGTTTATGCTCCAAAGGAGAATCAACTTAGCTCATCACTTGATTTTACTTAATTTTTTTTTTTTTGAGGCAGCTGACTTTTTAGAACAGGGAGTTTGTTCTGAATGGCCTGAAGTAATCACAAGGATGACTGAAAGGATACAGGACTCAACCTGCTATTACTGGCTTTGAAGGTAGGGGAGCCGGGAGCAGTGGAAGCACCTCAGAAAGCCTGAGGAAATAGGAAACAGATTCTTCTTAGAGACCCCACAGTAAGACAGTCCTACTAACGTCTTCATTTTGGACCAGTGCTACCCTTCAGGTCTACAGATCTGTTAAGAGGAAATTAACAGAACCCATATTGAAAGGATTCTACAGGGGCCAGAGAGTGTACAGTCAGTAGAAAACTTACCAGACACCCAGGCAACCTGGGTTAGATCCCTGACACTCTAGATGGTATCCTTAACTTTGCCAGGAGTGATCCTTGAGCCCAGCCAGGAACAAGCCCTAAGGGCCACTGGGTGTGGCTCCAAAACACAAAGAAAAAACTCCACACTCAATCCCCTCTTTACCCTTTCTCTTGCTCTTTTGGTCTACCTTGCCCGGGTAGGTTTATTCAAATATCAGCAGGTTGTCTGTGTTTATTTTGGGGAGGTGTGGGAAACATTACTCTGATTCTGAGAGTCAATCCTACACAAAAAGACTCTCTCTCCTGTCAAACCTAGTCTCCATTCCTAGCTCTTCCCATACAGGAAGTCAATCACTTTAATTTCAGGTTTATCCTTCTATTCCACCTCTACCACCCAAAGGGAGTCGATTATTTTTTTTTTATATAACCCCTTCTGACACAAAGGATTATATAGCATACTTCAGCTTTTATGCAAAATCAACTTCGTGTTGCCTTTTTGTGTTTTTTTCCCTCCTCCCAACACAGAAGTGGTGGTAGATGCTACTCTTAGCTCTGTGATGGGGGGGTGGGGGGGCACGTGGTGCCAGAGATCTAACCTGGGTCTCGCACTTATAAAGAACGCAATCAGCGCACAAAGTCAACTTTTTAAAAGTCCAGTGAATTTTAGGCATGAGGCAGTTTCACTGAAACGCTGAGAGCCAACGTGAAAGGGATCAAAGCATGGGGCGGGAGGTGGACGAAAGAGCACAGTAATCTGCAAATTCTAATTCTTATCAGGAGTTAGGATGGACTTCACACTACAGATCCCTTAGAGGCGCATTCACTTGAGTAAACGTGGGCAGCAAGTGGCTCGGACGGCGGCGTTGTTATCACCTAGGAACTATTCCCTTTCCTGAGGTTCACTACGTGCGTGTGAGGACGGGGAGTCGCTCGGAAATGACAGGTCTAGATCGCCAAGTTCCTGCATCCCAAAGCTTCCACGGAAGCCACGACTGAGTCTCAGTCCGCGAGTCTACAGCGCGACGGACACAAAGCGAGTTACAGTTTCAAGCGGCGCTCTACATAGCAGGTATCTCGTCAACGTTGTACAACCTGGCCCAGAGGGGCCAGAAACAGGATACAGTATCAGACCCGAGACTCTTTCCTCTCAAGCGGTCCCACTAAGCGTGCGTGGCTCCCAGCAGACGAAAGCACGAACACCCTTTCACCTCTTGCCAGAGGGAGCGACTACTCCCAGGCTCCCGGGCCGTTTCGATTGACGTTACTTCCGGGAAAAGTAACCTTTCTCCGGCGGTTGCAGGCCTGGAAAGGACTCGCGACGTTTGCTCGCGCGAGATCTGCTTGCTCACTCTAGCGACGACATCCTCCTCCTCCTCCCCGCCGCCTTTCGGCAATCTTCGCCAGCCCCAGCCCCGACCAATCTGCACTCAGATGGCATGGATCAGGGTCTCCCCCGCGAACCCCGGTCCGCGCGGGGCGTCCGGCGGCAGCGGCGGGGTGCGAGTTGCACGAGGCCGGCGGCAGCGGCACAGCAGGCGGCCACGGGCCGGCGGCGAGCAGCGAGCGTGGGCGGGGCGGGGGTTAGCCAGCAGAGTAGCGGCTCGATTGTTCTGGCCTGGCTATGGCGCCTCTCCTCCCCCCCGCCATGGCTCCCCGTGTCCCTGCTCCGCTCCTCTCAGTGAGTGAAAGTGGCCGCCGCCGCCGCCGGCCCAGCGCCCGCAGCCGCCTCAGCGCCGCCGCCATCTTGGGGTCCCAGGAGCCGCTGAGGGAGCGAGCGAGGAGCGTCCACGCCCAACGCAGTCACCGTCCCACGGCCTCGGAGAGCGAAGCGCGGCTCCACCGTCGGCGGGGCGACCCCCCCCTCCGGACCCCGCCCGCACCCCGCCCCCCCCTCCGCCGCCGCTGCGGCGGCGGGGCCCGGCGGCCCGAGGTGAGGCGACTAGACGTGGGCGGGTGGACGGAGGGGGGTCGTGTAGGCCCCGTTGCGCCCCTCTCTGCGGGCGACGGCTGGGCCGCGTCTTAAAGGGGCCGTCGCCCCCGGCCCTGGGATTTGTTGGGTTAGTAGGGAGCGTGGGTGTGGACGCTCCCGGCGGGGTAGGGACCTCGGGGACCTGGGCCTCGTCCTCTGCCTCTCTTACCTCTGGAGACCCGGGGTCACGCGGTGACCTCGGCCAGCCGCGGAAGCCCGTGGGGCGCCCACACGTGGGGTGTGTGTTAGATCAGGTGCACGTGGGACCCGGTGGGGCGGCGTCGGGCTAACACGTGTGTGGGTTTGGGGGTGGGGTGGGGCAGGGCGGGGGCTGGCGGGGCTCGGCGCGGCTCGGCGCGGGGAAACTGGGGAGGCTGCTGCGGAGCTTGGAAACTGACGAGACTCCCGGGCTGGCGGGCTTGTCAGTGTCCGGGGCGCAAGTTGGGATGTGGGTGAAGGGCGCACGCCGCCCGTGGGTGTTGGGTGGGCGCCGCGGAACACGTGCGCGGGCCCCTGGCCGTGTGGGTGACACCCCTTTTGGACTTTGAGGCGTTCGTGTGGCCGTCCAGGCAATTGTCACCGTATTTTGACATGCCTTCCTGAGCTTGCCGGTGAAAACTACTACTTCCGTGATCACGAGGGTGGAAGCCCCCTACAGTTTGGGAGTGATAGAGCCGAAGAAAGCGCTCGCTGTTTTAGTTAACAGCCAACTGCGCCCCGGTTTCTCTTAATTCACTGCCCAGTTTCGAGCCCGTGTGTTTTGTTGGTAGGCATGGACGAGACAGTTTTGGGAGGTTGACCCCACGAACCTCACTTCTTTTCCAGTCTATGCCTTCAGGGTTTGTCTTCCCCCGGGGTAATACTCCTTGGGGCTCCTTACTGGCAACCTTTAAAAAAAATGAAGTCAAAGCTTTACTGAAATTTCATCAGTCCAATAATCTCATCCTTTTAAGGCGTACAAGTCAGTGATTTTTTTTTTAAAGTACATTCATAGAATTGCCCAGTTCTCACCAATTCTCTCATTCATTGCCCTGAGGAAGCCTTAGCAGGCACTTCCTTATTCCCTCCACCTCTTTAAAATCACTAATCAGTTTTCTTTGTTCGATTTTCCTTTGGAGGCACTTTGCATAAATGGATATGTGCCTTTTTTGTGAGTGGTTTCTTGTATCGGAAGTATTTGAGGTTTTCTTCCATGTGGTAACATGTCTCAGGAGACTTCATTCTTACTTATCTCCTAATACTCCATTCTAGTTGCCTTTCTGGTATTTTGGTGCCCAGCCTCATGTTCACAACGCTCCTACCCTTTACACAAAGTACATCCTGGCATCAGTCTTATTGCATTTTATGCTTGACTTTATCAACCCCTTCTGTAAAATGATAATTTGAAGTTATGCTTTATGGTAAAACTTGAATACCTATTTGATTCCGAAATGAATTGTGCTTCGAAGGATTAAACTGTATTCTTTTAGTTTATTCTTTTTGTTTAGTTTGGTCCTTTTGGTAGGGAATAGCTGAAGAGTCCAAATCTGCTTAGAAAAATTTATGACTAATAAAGCCATTTGAGTTTATCAGTGTGGAAACCTGATTAGGTACAAGCAACAGACCATAAACTCCAGTGTTACAGTTTCACTTAGTGAAAGTTTTTAGGGAAAGTAATAGCTTTACACTTCTTATGTTGATGCAGGACTAGAGAAGATTAAAGCTGATTTAGGGAGTAGTCCAGAGTCATGGAGTATGAAGTGTGAGACCTTTAGTTTATATCTTTACAGCATTCCCCATCCCCACCTCCCAAAATCAACCCAGCAAACCACTAGCACAGGGAGTTAACATGACACTAATGCAGTTTTACGCAAAATATAAATGTGGTTTTGCAGTACATTTTCAGGTGGAATGGGATTAACAGGAAATTTAGAATTCGTATAGAAAAATAAGTGAAGTTGATCACGAGGTTCTTTGGTGGGGGGGGATGTGAACACACATAATGGTCTGTTCAGGGGTCACTCCAGGAGGTGTTCAGGGGACCATATTTGGTACCAGGGATCGAATGTGGGTTGGCAGTTTGCAAGACAAGCACCTGAACCCTTATACTCTCCTGCTCGGTGACTAGTTTTAAAGATGGATTTGGGGATTCAGAGTTCAGCTCAGCACACATGCTTTGTATGCAGGAGTTCCAGGTTCTGTGCTCTGTGCATTGCCAGGTTCTATCTTTGAGAGCCAGAAGTAGCCCCTGCTGAGTGTGGCCCTCCAAACCATAAAACAAAATAATTTTTAAGTGTAAGAATTTTTGTATGATAGCATGCAAAAAAGAACAGTATAGTCCCTAATGCTTCTTAAACACATTGGGGTGTCCAGTGATGGTAATGAGACCTCCAGTTCCACCTTTACCTTGGAGGTTTAGAATTTCCGCTTGGATTTGGGAGAAGCACAAACATTCAGACCACAGAAGTACTTTGTCTGAAGTTCAGTTAAGAAGCATTTGATTCACTTGCTAATCATGATACAATTGGTTTGAGTTCAGAATTTCAATTATTGAAGCCTTTGATTCACTTGCTAATCATCAAACCCTAGGTTTTCTTTGGGTTGAAAAGTTGGCTACAAAGAAACTCAATGCCTGGGTTTAACAAGTATGTAAGAGAGCTTTCCATATGTATTAAGTCAGTTGTGGGAGATCTGTTACAGTAAATACAATTGGCAAATCTAAAAAATGAGAAAAAAAAGACTAGAACTAAGCACTATTCATGTTAAATTTCATATGAATTTATAAATTTCATATAAAATTCATATTTTATTCATATTAAACAGACTACAGAAGTTCTTTTTCCACTTGGTACTCTTTTTATCCAAGAAATTTTTACACAACTCTGGGTATATAGGTATATAAAAATAGCTATACCAGTCAAACATTTACTGATCATAAATCATAAACTTATTTTAAAACATTTTCAAAAAGTGAAACATTACTGATCATAAATCATAAACTTATTTTAAAACATTTTCAAAAATGTGAACTTCATGACTTGCCCATTACTCAAGGGATAATCTTTGTAAGGTTCTTATTTTCTTTGTTCTGAGCTCCTTTGTGGATAAGGAAACCTGTGAATCCTTTCTCAGAATGTTACTTTTTAGTGTATGAAATAGAGTTCACTTATTAAAATATAACTTATAAGAATTTTTAACTGTTAAACTAAATAACAACTGGTGATAGTTGTCCTGATTACTCTTGTTGGATACTGCCTACATTCAGAATTAAAGGAAATGTCATTTTCAATTGCAGATCAGTAAAAATAAACATTTTTTTCCTACTCCCCCTAGTAATCCCTGCCCTGGCAGTCCAATACATATTTTTTTCTATACAAATTCATGAACTATAACATAAGTCCTGCTCTAGAGAATCCCAGGCACATTGTAAATTTTTATGAGGCAAACTGGTAGCTTTTATAACAAGGAATAGGATTATTGACTTAAAATCTTGTTCACAATATAAACTTCTATGAAAAAAGCATGTAATGGTTAAACTAAGGAGAGATCTAGTAGAAAGACACTGGTTTGGAGCCTTATAAGATTTAATATTGAGTTCTTCTTACTACTGGGTGTGTTCTTGAACTTTTTTTAGTTTTCACTTTCTTAGTGATAAAGTAAAACCGCGTATTGCTCAGTGTTTATTTTCATCTTTGAAATGAACATGCTAAGGACCATGACACATTTAATTTTGATTTTGAAAAGGGAAAATTATTCATAGTAAGTGATCATGTGCATGGCTTATAGAGTTTTCTCAGGATATTCAAGAACTAAAAAATATTTCTTATAATTAAAAATTAGGGATCTCTGGCTATGTGTCTGTCAGCTTGCTTTTTGGGTAAGAAGTTAGTGCCTAAGTAAGATAAACTGGGTAAATCTTTCATATCTTAGTGTATGAATAGAAGGATGATTAGTGAACATCAGAATAGTGAAAAGAATTCCAGTCTAAATGGTTACTTTCTTCCTAAGAAATGTTTGAATGTTGACAGGCCAACAAATTATTAAGTTATTCTTGAGAGATACTAAAAATAAGATTTAAAAATGGACTGCATATTGAGGTATCAAACAACAATATATCTATTTTTACTGAATGGATTTCCGTTACATTGCACATCAAGGAAGAACCACTAAAGCAAGAGGGAAGTTTCCAGAAAATGGCAGTATAGATCTTGAAGGTAATGGTGAGCTCTTTATATGAAGATCAAAGAAATTTGACTCTGCAATGGAATGATGAAGACTGGGATGGACTATGTATTGAATTAGGGAGCACAAAAAGTAATCTTGAAAAAGTAAAATTAACTTGAAAGATGAATATTATTTGCTAGCATAAATTATGAGTAGCTTATTTGTAGAATTTATTGGCACAAAAGGTAGTTCAGACTCAAAAATAGACCAGACACAATTGATGGGTTATAGACAGAAACTTTTATGATCCAGTCCTGATTAAATGGTCTACAAACCTTTTACTGTTATTTTACCTGATGGTTTATGGAAGAACTCTTTATTTCATTAACTTATTATATCAATAAATATTTATTGAATACCTTTGAATGTTTTTTTTAATTTTCTGAGCAATTATTTACCATACTCAGACTGTGATAAACTGTAGGGTGTATACACATGAATCAGTTGTTTGTGTATGTATGAAGAGTACAGAGGTGCTCTGCTAAGATCACCTCTAACATCATACCCAGTTATATAAACTTTGTTTCCAGTCCACACTTGGTATTGTTTAGGGACTGATCCTAGATCAGTGTCTAGGGGAGTCATGCTGTGAGCGGAGGGTTTGAACCCAAGGCTCCCCCATGCAAGGCATGCATGACAACCCGTTCAGCTAACTCCTTGACCCCAGTTATACAAACTCTTTAAATAACACAGAGAAGTATGAACCTAAATATTTCTCTTGAAGTGCTTATAAAAAATATATTGATGTTCTTTTAGTT